TGTTACGAGTCAAACATATGAAATCTTAGTATAACAACGGTGGTTTGTTATTGCAAACGAAATATTTGACCGTTACGAATTCTATCGGAAATTAACAGCGTCGAATTGAATCGGATTTTAACACTTAACTATGGAAACACTACGTCGTTCGGATAGTCGTAACGAGACCTGGGTGTCGTGGATTCGTGCAGCATGTGCTTGCGGAACAAAATTATGTCTTTGCCGTTAGTACAAGTCAAATACCAAGAGTCACGAGAGGCCGTTCGCGGAGATCCGATGGTCATGCTCTCGTCCGTAGCTTTTAAACCACTCGTCTCGCTTTTTATCCATGTACGAACTTGCACGAAATCCATCCCGCCGATTCATTTTTCCCTTGACTATGGCCGCTGCAGTTGACGGTGCGTCGTAAAATCGTTACGGTTCCGTAGGATCACGCGTGTATATCCAAATGCTCATAATTACAGAACTATAAGTTTTATTAACATTTTTATGATGATGACGTCGCTGATTTATCAAGTCCGCGTAATACCTTTTGTTCAATTATGTCATATCGTAATGCGTCAGTAATCGTTCGTTTTCATCGTTTTGAAATAATACATTTTTATTCGATTCTAAATATATTAGCGACGTGTGTAACTCGCGCTGCGTTACGATATTTCACCGCACGTCGTTTTCCCACGGTACTATTTTTAAAGAATATGTGTTTTAACGACGACTGTTTGCACGATTTTATTGGCCCGATCGCGGAGTTTCGTTTATACAGACGTTATAAAATCCTTAAACTATGTAATCAAAATAATCCCGTTAGTGCCATCGCAGTTTATTCCTCCTCCGTGATCGTTTGTGTTCGAAGATAGAATTATGAGTTAACCTCTCAAACATCGTTTAAGCGTATTCATCATTGCGGATTCCACTACAATTTATTTCGCGTTCCATAGAAATAAGAAGATTTCTTCTGTTATATTCACACATCGCTGTTTAGTATGACATTTTGACGTTTTATGTATTTGAAAAGCTAAAATTTTATCTTTGAAGATTATATGTTACAATGCTGAATACATTATATGGGATGTTTGTCGACTTTATAAAAAAAACGACGGTTAAAATCGCATTAAATCTATCTCAAGTGTAATTAAAGTCATAATTATTATAAAATGTTGGCGGTGGCGCACGTGAAACGCTTTTAATTTGAAAATCTTATTGATATTATTTTATTTATCATGAGGCGTTTTAAAACCACTTTCGTTTTATAAGTATTTTTTTTTCCAAATTGACGACGTTGTTTCCATTTATTTTCCTATTGTATATATGTGCTCGATATGTTCGGTAACAGATACTACCTTCACGAGTAATTTTTCCATTCGGTCACCTTAAACGGACGCATCAGGACATGTAAGTGCATGTATAGTAAATTGCGAACCCTACATGTAACCGCAGGCAACTTGCTGTACGGGGGAAGAAAGAGAAAAACAGGATCGTTGAAAAATTAACCGAAGACCCCGTCGTGAAGGTGACGTGCGTCTAAATTACATCCCGTGCGTGTTCATGGGTGTGTATAGGTGTGTCTTCTCGTGTATATGTATATGAGAATTTGCGGTGAAGACGAGTACAGCCGCTTCGATCAATCTCCTCGCAACGAGTAACCACCGGATCTGCGCCGCGAATAATGGTCCGGAAAACGTCAAAAAACTGACAAAAATGTGCCACGGTTTTGCCGCCCCGACGTTATTAAACTTTTTTTCGACTCGTTTGTCACCGCACCACCGCCGCCGGGAGGGTACTATTGTGATTATATACGCGTGTTGTTTAACGCTTTTGCCAGTAAAACGTTGCGGCCGTTGGTCGTGATCGTTATAAATCACTGGCAATTTTTTATTTCGCGCAAAAATTTTACCAACACCACGTATTCGCCGCATTGCGATAATAATAATAATAATAATAATAAAAATAGATATAACGGCAGTTGTTGTAGTAGAAACACGAAGTACAGCTCATTCGATTAATTTATTACAGCCGATCTGTGTCCCGTACTTGTAGTACGATGTATTACATGTTTTATCGTCGCTTTTCGGGCCAAGAAACACGACAACAAGCGTTATTGTGTGATAATTTTTAAAATTACCTTCGCTCTCTCTACGTCCGTCTATCTAGAAGTGCGCAAAACGTGTACGCAAATACGATAATAGCCTGTGGGCGAAAAAAAAAAAACCTTACTCCTTGGTCCTGCGCGTACCACGAACGTTGCGGGAGAGACGTTCGCAAAAGTATTCGGTGGAAAACACGTATTGGATAACAATGATAATCGTAACGCGCGCGTGACGGATGGTTGACGGGCGGAGGAGGGTAGTGACATGCGCGCGGATCTCATTATTTATAGACGTTCGCGCGCGGCGGTGGAGCACCGAAGCTGTTTATTTGGACGCGGCAAACGCATGCCGCCGCAGCAGTCCCATTACCGGAGGAGCCATCGCGGCGAATAAAAATAAATTTCGAAGGCGCGCGCACGGCACGGCGAGCGGAACAACGGACGGCATGGAGAGCGGCCGAGAGTGGGGAAAAAAAATGTTCTGGTCCAAAAGTAAACATGTCCCCGGTAGCTTCTTGCGTACGGTCCGCGATGCGACGGCGTTTGTTGCTTTTGCCAGACAACCGTGTGCCGACGCCAATCACGTGTCACCCGTTCGGCAATGTGTTTTAATTATCGGTCCGTGGAGTTCCTGGGCAAAAGTTTTTTATTGTTTTCGTTTCTCTCCTAACCATGTCCCGGGCGCGCACGTGCTCCGCTGCGACCACGCGCCCCTGTTATTACGCGGCGCACGGCTTTTAATTCAATTCGATTCCGAGACGATATTTTCTGTTTATTATTTCCCCCCCCCCCCGTTTCGAACCGCAAAAGGTCAATTTTTTTCGGACCTAAAAGTTACCGAGTTCTCGCCGAGTGTACACGTTTACTTCTAAGTTACGTTACCTCGTCTTTCGACTCGGTACGATTTCATCGCGCGTTGGACCACGCCGGCGATGGACGCGGCAATCCACTGCAGTTTGCCGCAAAATATAATTTAATACATCGACAGCGATCGAACTTGATTATTGATCCATTACGCTTCAAAACCAATTTATTGTTCCTACCTACCACGACGTCTGCGGTCGCTCTCTTTTTTTTTTTTCTTCCGATATCGGTTCCGGGACGAAAATCCCTTTTGAATAATGTTTACGGATGTGATATCGCTCGCCTCCGGATAATTGCGATTCCCGGTTCGGTACGAACATAATATTCCGACGTACAGTAGTAGTTTTCCGTCAATAAATCAATCGATATCGCGCATAATTTTCAACAATATCGTCTCAGTCAAATTCTCCAGAGTGCTGTTGCGTTGTACGATTATACGTTTAAATCATTTCCCAGTCGTGCGAACCGCGAGTACTGATAGCACTACACGGTAGATTAGGGTCTCGTTGTTAAATTACTAATTAGGGATTTAACACGGACGATCTGCGGCGAATGACAAAACGCACGCAGATTCTAACGATAAATATGAATATTTGTTCTACGAAATCTTTGAAAATGTTACATTTCAAAACACACTCGTCGTTATTATATATTGCTGTACGCACGGAATGCTTATATTCCGTCATAATCATATTTAGATGTATTAACGACGGCGATCGCTATAGGTCCGGAGTCGTAAAGGGATCTTAACGTTCGCACATGTGTTTCGCGATCAAACTTTTAGGACATCGAAAGTATAATACACACAATGCATTTAGGTTCATATTATACCTATTACATTCTTAAAGTTAACTGAACGGGAAAAACATCATGAAAGCTACCAATGGATACTCAAACCGAAACGATGATGGCTGAGAGGTTGTGAACGAATTCCACTCGAAACAGTGAAGACTGTGCTAATTGTTCCGTCTATTATTATTATAATTATTATTCAATGGGTTTCTGTATAAAATTATATCCTATCGACTATACGCCGGAACCGAACCACAATAATATTCCCGATCGTGTACGGTCACAAATGCGATTCATTGATTTCCGACGCACAAATAATACATACTATAAGTATTATGTAAACGCATTGCCCGTTATGGTGGTACTATACTATACATTATTATGTAGCATTTCTCATAAATATAACCGTAGTTAGTAGAAGAAATAGTAGTTATTCCGCGTGCACAATGATTTTGAATTTTTAAACGAACAAAATGTGGTTTTTTTTTATAATAGTTTAGAGCTCTATAAATGGAAAAAAGTTCATTTGCAACTATGTTTGCATCCGATTAATTTAAAACGCCAGAAATCTATAAAATATTTTATATGTATACGAAACGAGTATGTACCTACTTAGTGTACATTATTCATTGACGCGATGTTTTGACTTTATCGGTATATGACGTTTGAACGATTTCTCGCGAAACTAATATTACCGATTGTCTCTATATTATAACTGTATGATGGACGTGTATATTATATTTTGGCATTTGTTCGCTGTAGTTTGATTTATTAATGAATTAAATAAAAATATTTATATATAAATTAAGGCGATATGTCTATGTACTCGACGGAGAACCTACTCTTTTTAATTGAACCGATTAGGTTACCGAGCGAAATCGTATGGACGAATAAACGGCGATAAAACAAACACAGGGATTAGACATTACTGAAAACTCTACAAAAAGTCTCTTTATATAAACATTGGGTATAATCCCTTTCGGAGTTGTCGTCCACACGAGATAAATGGCTTTGTTTGCTTAGTCTGCCCTCTATGCTTCTCGAGTTCGGATCTTTTTTTTTATCTTCCTACATCCCATTCTTGTTACAAAGTATATATATATATATATATATACGAGTATATGTATTATATAACTAGAGCATTATACCACGTTGAGCATATAAAATGTAAGCATAGCAGACGTGCATATATAGCAACTGTGTTGCATGTACACATTTACAGGTTAATTAATTTGTATTTTAATTTTTTTGTCCTCAGATTCGAAGGGATCATTTAAACGAAGGTTACCGAAAAGGTTCAAAGCTGGCTATCGCTACTTCCAAGCTGTATTCCCAGGCTCCGTTACGAGTATCCACGAGGTAAGATATCAAACACGGTGTTTAATTGTTATTTTTTTTTTTTTTTTTACATTAAAACAACAGTATTTTAATTAAAATTAAATTAATTAAAACAAACCGAAACTATATATTGCACATGTATTCATATATATATTCCATGGTTCTGTTAGGCTATACTTATGAGCATCCTTGACCGAACCGTGTTCAAAGTTGAACACAAATTATTATAATGATGGATTTTACGTTTTCGTGTCGTTGATGTGGTTGGATAGAATTTTCCAACCCCAGTGGCCCGAAGGAGGACGGGAATACTATTCCTCCTACTTACATGAACACACCCGACATTCGTGCCTGTTCGGCCGTATTCGTACCTGTTCATGACAGACCCTCTATTTTTCAGCGTTAAGTAAGTTATAGGTAGTCACAGGAGTCGATCGTTGTAAATATATATATATATATATATATATATATATATATATTAAAAACTCTGTAGATGTGTAGACGTATGAGTAGATAAGTTTGCGGTTGATTATGATAGTATCCGTTGTAAACTATTTGATTTTAATTGTTTTATTTTTATTTGTTTGATACTTCTTAAAAAATTTGACAAAAACAGCTTGATCGAAGTTGAAACATAATATTATATATAGATTTGTGCAGTATTATACATTCTAGAATCATAAAAATAAAAATAAATCACTAATACACTGATGCAGCGATCAAACAGTTGAAATTATGCACATTTCAATATAATATAATAATAACAACTATATTTATAACGTATATCGATTGATGAACGCTAATTTCCTCTAGTATTAACAAATATATATTAATAATGTATATATTAAATATATTTGTTCTCTTCTGCTTAGATACTATATAATATCTTCATTCTTCTTTAACGTGTTTGAATATATGTATAATTTCCTCTTATATATTTAAATATACATTAATAGTTTTAGCGTGTTTAGAATTTAAAATAATACAATCAGTTAACATGTGTTTTTATTTAAACATTTTTTTTTTTTCGTAAATTCATAGATATCTATTGATTGGATTAATCGTCTCAAATGGACTTTTTTTGCATGACATCAAAATTGATTTTGACTAATATTTTTCTTTTGTGATTTTTATAAAACTTATCACTCATCAATACAATTTTAAATTACAATCTATAGAATTCTTGTATCTTTAGATTTACCTCTTCGTGTTAAACAAAAATATCTTTTCAATTTCAATTGTAATTTATAATAATATTATATTTAAACTTTATTCGACGACGTAATTAGTCATCGAATTTATACTCTTCGGTGTGACCAACAACGTGTTGTGTATATAATATAATAGTGTTTATTTAGAGTTATTTTCGACTAATGCATTATTGATATACGTTTTATGCATGTACGTATTCAGCCTTTTGGCGAAAACAATTTTTCTCTGTACATATTTAATGCGTATAGTAAAAGTTCACTATTGCTAAAAGCTACATATAGGTTTTAATTTCGTGTGGGATAAAAGAAAGGCCACTTGAAAATGAGTACTCATTTCCGTATATTTATATGTATGTATATATAAAAAAAAAAAAAATGGAGATCATTAAAAAAAAGAAAAGTTACCAATAATGACTATAAGCCTGGTGTACAAAATACCACTCCCTTTTTCACAAGTGCATATGACATTATTAATTATTCATCGGTTTAGTTTACGTATAATTTTCGCATCAAAAATGCAATCTTTTACATTTTTATTTCCACACTGTTTGATCAGTGTATTTTCCTATGAATAAATGTGGTTTTTTGCTGATACGGTCCAACGGAGCAATAAATTAAGGTTCATTTTGAGTCTCGACGACCGACCTACGCTGCAGGGTCTTAAGATAAACAATTTGCAAGAAATACCTCCGTAATCAATAAGAAAATGCGTCCACATTAAACAAACAAAACCCTCATCACGAACCAAAATCGCAACCATTTTCTAATTTATATTTTACATAATATTACGTTGGGGTGTACAATACAAATATGAAACGGAATTCCTAACGTTACGGTGATCGTAATTGAAAAAAAAAAATTATACCTCCATTAAAAAAAAAAAAAAAGCTTATACCATCATTGCTTATCGATTGGCCGTATAAGTCACAAAGTATACGTATAATATTTTAATAGGCATCTCAGATATGGAATTGGAAATCGTCGTAAAAAAATCGATGAAATGATTACAATTTTAATTGAAAATGTGGGATCACGTTCAATACGCTTTTTATAAATAAATACGGGAATCGTAAAAATAAATAGATAAAAATTCAACGACTGCGAACGCGCATTATTACGTTAATCACGTTTTAATATGTTTGACGAGTGACGTGCGTCGTAACGCGTGTATTCTTTTAATACGTACGATCCGACGCAGAACATCAGAATGTGATGTGTAAAATCGAAAGGTTTTCAAGAGTATTAATTTCATAGGACGCGCGTACAACATAAATGTATACTACTTTCACCTGTTCCTTAATTATTTTTTCCCTTAAATCGCGTTCGCGGCGGTGTAGGTTGTCGTTGCCTTACACACACACACACACATATATATTCTCTAATTTTGTGCGTTGAAATTGTTTCTACTCGGTTATCGCAACAGCCTCGCCTAGCCTTTTTGTTTACCCGTAAAACACAACTTGGCCGTAAACGCGTGTATGCGCGTATAAACATTGCGACCATTGCGGGGCGCGAGCGAAAGTATTTGGGCTCAAAAGAAGCCGTCTTTTCCAAACAACCCCCCACGATCAGCACCGCCTCCTCCGACAACCCCCCGGCCCGCAACCGTTATCGCCCGTTAATTACACGGACGGTGACGCGCGCGCACCGTTTACGTTCAGGATTTATGCGTATTTGTCACAGCACAATGCAGTGCGCGTACGCTGGGTCTTGGAAGGGTGCGGGGCAAGGGGTGCATACCATCAGGCGAAATAGATCGTCGGGTGTACAAACGCGCCGATATACGTTCGCGGACTTTGGGCCGTTAATCAATTCGCAACTTTAACCCGCCCGCACTGCAGATTTATTATATTTTATACGTATATATGCCTTCCGTCGAGGACAAGCGCTTTGCTCGCGCAATATAATATATTATAAACGTTTTGCCGGGGTCAAGTATAATGATTATTGTTGTTATTATTACCGGAATCGTCAAGTGCCTACGTGCAAAACAAATACGCTCGCGCGCGACAACATTTCCCCGGGGCCCTTTTTGCCGTCACGGTGCAGCGCGTGTGTACGGGCGCGGGTTAGTCGTTTATTATGTGTTTTGATAACGTTACCACGTCCAAATGGCGTTTTTCGAATCGACGACTGATACGATTTCGTTCGATTCTTCGTCACATGGTTTTTCGACGGAAACCGCAGAACATCTCGGCCGTCCGCGAATGAATGGAACGATTCGTTCGCTGCACAGTTATCGTAATATACTTGCACGGTCAGCGGCGTGGCGACAAGATCGTTTGCAAGGGGAAAACGTGCAATTTTGGTACCCAGCCACTCTTTTAGGAATCGATATTGTCTATTTATATTTAATAGAACTTTTCATTTCTACGAGTAAGCAATGACTGAACAACTGATACTCGACCTAGTTTACTATACCTATAAAAATAATAACGATTTATAGCACAAAAATATGTTACCAATAGACCGGTACCAACTTTCCATTTACCGCCCAATGTTTTACTAGGGATGACCCATTTGACAGGCCACGATTTATGTTTACGTCGGATATTGGTTAGCAAAATGCATTTAAACGTTGTTACTGGTCATTAGAAAAATGTAAAAATACGGCTGCATCCGAGTTGCGGTCACGTGAATTGTAGGTAATATCGTAGTTGCGGTCATATACCTATTACTTACCTGTAAAGTTTATATATATAATAAATAAAATTGTATTGTCCAATAGTTCAGTGGTGTACATATGGCTTTTGTATGGGGGAGGATCAGTTGCAAACAAATTATGGAAGGAAAATTCCTAAACCTAAGTACTTGCACATTTAAATAATAAATAATAAAATATATATATATATTGAATATGTCAAAATAATAATTTACAATAAATCCTTGCAATATTTTTTTGTTTCCTTATAATTTCCTTACATTAAGAACACTATTTTATACAATTTATAAAAAACCTATGGGAGTATCTGACCCCCACATCTCTCCCTTGTATACGCCCCTGCAATAGTAGTATAATCACGAACCAGATAATCACCAATCAATGATACGCCAAAAGGTTAGTAACAGTGTTAAACGTTAGGCAGTGGAAGAGTTGAGCAAGCGTCACTCCAAAATTATTCATTCTGAAATGTCAAGTACAGTACTCAGTGTACTGTAGGGTCAAATGTCGTTACATTTATCAGAAAAAATATACACGCTGCAAGAAGTTGCCGCGTGACTTTTCACAGTTACATTTGACGCCTCCTAACGTAATTAATAAAATGCGAACCAAAAATAATGTAAATTGGATTTTTATAAACGATGTTCAGAACAATATAATATGTTTTACGAATCAGATAAACCTGAATTTTTTAAAACCATGTGATTCAATTTTTATGGATTTTTATCAATTTTTATAACTTTTTTAAGTTGCCATTTTCCTTTTAAACAATTTTTTGTGATACATGGATATAAAAACAAAAGCAGCTAATACGTACCTTTGTTTTTTCTTCATTGCCTAGTAAATTGCCTTTTAATGCGTACAAGACTGTTATTAGACCACCTCAAAGGTTGTTTGTCTGACTATATCCCAAATAGTGTCAATGATTTCGAACCTACACAATAAAAATAGTGTAGACAGTCCTAAGTCTGTTTATAAAATGGAAAGGAAAATGTTGAAACTTTTTTGTAAATAAAATAGCATGGTATATATCATATATACTAGGTATATGTTTTGAGTGACCGCAACTAGTAAGTAATTTTTGATTTTGACCGCAACTAGTATACACCGAAAAATACATGGCAGATTCATTCGATATAGTAGGGAGTACCACCGCACCTTCAATATTTGATTCGTGCAATTTCCGTTTCGAACCCGTTTTCGCCACACCACCGTGTACGGTGTAATTTATGCGGTGATCATTCCGACCGACTCGGACGGTCTACCCGTCAGTCGTCCGTTAATTGTTTTTTTTCCCCCATCACCGTCATCACGAACCCGCCGTACACATTCGTTCTATTTATATAAATATACGATACCGTACAAAACGACTGGTAGACACGTCTGCTGGCGACAACGACGTTGCCGCAGCCATGTCCGTTTAATAAGGTTTTCGGTATGAACTATTAACTATAGTTATCAACTACCGCGGAAAAACGGTCCTTCCTCCTCGGATAAACGGTAACCGCTCGCGCGCTAAATCAAACGGCGATT